TCTTAATTGCTACTTCACATATTTTTCCTAATAGAATTTCCTAACAACAACTTCAATGGAACTGGTTACTGTCTGTTCTGTTTTATTTATACCTTTCTTTCTACTTATAGCATTCTTTAATCTAATTAATAATTTTGTATTTTGTATTCTATTCTTTATTTTTTATTATAATATTCTCAATAAATTATAGATAATCTGGCATTTAATTACACAGTGTTTGTATGATAGAAATTTAGGAAATGGGATTTCTTCTTGCGTCTTTACTTGCGGTTTCGTTTCATCTCTGAAGCTACAATTTTATTTCATGTCTTTCCGTATAAGATTTGTCTATAAGACATGTCTGTAAACTAATAATCAGTATTAACGAATATATCATGATATATGCATAGAAACATCAGACATTTATTCAGTCACATTCTTCATCCTTCGTACTATCCTTGCCGAAGATATCCGCACAAACTCTTGGGTCTCTAGACGGAATACGTTCCCACTTTTTCTTCTCCTTTCTTACTTCTTATTTGTTCTCATTTTGAGCGATTTTGCTCGATGTTTCGACCGGAACTGTTACTTTCACGTTCACGTGATGACGAAAAGTGAACGTATCTGTTAACCGATCATCATTTTTCAGTATCTCGTGCTCCATAGAAAGGAGACTTTTTTAGAAATGATGTAAGGGGCTTTCATCGTTCTAGCATCGGCGCTAACATAGCAGAGAAATGGTTTCCTTTTAATTGCCTTTCACACTGTTGGATATCATCGGTTTATGGGCGTCGAAGCTAGAAGCGAAAATTAATTGTTTATGAGACGATATACTACTTTCCAAACACTTCTTTATTCATCGTGTTTTGTTTCCAAATCGTTGTATTTGTCACACGGAGTTCGGAAGAAAAGTTGTTTGATACTTGGGTTATTGGATGGGTAACTGTTACTGGTTACGTGACGAGCCATCTTCAGGATCAAATCTCTTTAGATGGATACAAATCAATGTCACGTAGATCATAAATGTGGAAAGGTGGAACAAATTTGGACACTTTTTGTGATTAATATATTTAATTAGAATATTAATTCGATTAGAATATTAAGACATCATTAACGCCACGCACATGCCCTTTTTTAACTTGATTCACTCTAACCCTTTTTTCCTCACACGCATACCAACCTGACTCACTCTCCACGCATGCCAAAACCAACTCTCACAATAACAAGGACTGCTTGGATCCCAGAGATAAACAATCTTTTGGTCAAATCTTGTAAATACAATATTTCAGACTGTAGCGAAGAACATAATTTTAGTTAAATGAGTTAACACATTTTTAGTAAATTTCCAGAAACGAAAAATGTATTCTTCTACACATTGTATTAAACTTACTCAGTCAACCAAAATACCCCAGTAGTCCCAAAAGTTAATTTTTAAGAATTCTTATAAAGAAAAAGATTTATTTTTAAGAATTTCTTTATTATTAATAGTCACATGAAATTCGGTCTTTTTCACGGTTAACATGATAACTCGATATTGGAATAACAATAATCTACAATAATGACAACAGTTGATAAAAATAAACAACAATAATCTTTTGGTTATGTTTAGTTTTGAATTTACATGCGAACACCTGTTCTCATCGACGGTCAGGGTGACCCATATTATTGTCAGCGATTCGGCACGACTTTTGCCGAATTATGATCGTGCTGTAACTACGCGAGCGATAGCGTACTGAGAAATTAGTAAACCAACAGCAGTCACGATTAACACCTCGCGCTAATAAAGGAGCTGATTTATATTAATCAAGTGTTTCGATTATACCTTTTCCGAAGAAGTCCTTGTTCCGGCAACAATTTCAAAGTTAAATGAAACGATATACGAAGGTGTCGATTCATTTAGTGGTCTTTCGAGCCGGATCTGTAGAGACTCTCGGAAATTGAATCACAAATAATTCGGTAACGAAACCTGATCGTGGTCGTATGAAACTGTGTCCTCGACTTATTCTGGGCCCCACAAAGCGATTAGGTGTATAATTTCGGATTTGTGAAATTCAAATTAGTGTCGCGTAAAGATACCAAAGTGCTATTTGCACAGACTCGTTCTAAAGGTCATAAAGACGATCGTGAAAAACACCTTTCGTGACAATTCAATATGGCGGGTCTAAACGCATTCATTGCCGAACAAAGTGTAATTGTCGAGCAAATCCGTCGTGCCTTGCTGAACCTCAAGAAGATGGGAGTTAAAAACTATCCAATCTCGAAATTGCAACATCGTCTGGACAGTTTGGAAAAATTGTGGGAAAAATATCAGAAGCTTCACATCACCATCGAAAACACGGCCTCCGACATTGAAATCAAAACCATCGCCTATTTCACGACACGGGAATTCATCCTGACAGAGGAAACGTACCTCGAAGCGTCCGACTACATGGTCAACATGAAGGATATCAACAAACTAGCGGAACGTCTCCTTGCTGACGCTAGTATGTTAAACGCGACCATTGCGACTCAATCCGTTTCTCAATTGACGCGTATCGATATTCCCGAGTTTTCTGGCAATCATCTCGAATGGGAAAATTTTCGTGACTTATACGATACCCTTGTCAAAACGAATCCTTCGCTCTCAAATGTTACGAGATTACATTATCTCAAAACGAAAGTTGAAGGAGAGGCCGCCGCTCTCTTACGTAACGTTAGAATTACCGAAACTAATTTCCATATCGCTTGGAAAATTCTTTCTGACGAATATGAAAATCCGCGATTTCTCATAAATTCTCATTTGCAATCGATTTTCGATCTACCGATTTTGAAAACTGAGACTGCGAGTTCGCTACGTAATTTACGAGATGTTGCAAATTCGGCAGTTGAGGCTCTCGCGAATTTGAATCGTCCGGTAGACAATTGGGACGACATACTAGTTTTTCTGCTTACAAAAAAACTTGCGTCGCGTTCCCGTCAAGAGTGGTCAATGAGTTTAGGCAACTCATACGAACCTCCGAAATACAAGGTCTTTATTTCCTTTATATCAGCGCGAATAAGAGGTCTCGACGATGATACAATATCATCTACCGACGGGCAATCGACTAAAAATCGAAACTCTAACGCAAAGGTTCATTCGGCTAACGGATCACAGTCTGAAAAACGAGATAAGTGTCCTGCATGTGCCGACAGTCATTTGTTATTTCGATGTAAAAAATTTATTCCTTTAAACGCTGATCAACGGTTCGCTTTCGTTAAGAAATTAAAATGCTGTGTCAGTTGTTTACGTACTAGTCATTCCACTAATGCATGTACTATCCAGACCAGATGCTTTAAATGTGACAAGCCTCATCACACTTCTTTACATCGCGACAGTAAACTAAATGACGTTAAAGTCTCTGACCCCGTCGACAACTCCGAAAATGCCATAGATTTGAATAATCGAGCAGGACCTTCCGTAAACGCTGCGATATCGTTGCCGTCACAACGGCAACTTTTGGCCACCGCCTGGGTGACTCTTCGCACTCCGAGGGCAGTACCGTACGAGCTCGAGCCCTACTCGACCAAGGTTCGACGCATAGCTTTATCTCGCAGACTTTAGCACAAAACTTACATACTGCTAGGCAACATATGAGTTTGCCAGTTACCTGTTTTGGTGTTCAGTATTCCGGTACCACTAAGTCAAAAATGAATCTTTTGCTCGAGTCTCGTCATTCCAAGGAAAAGTCATTTCCAATCGAAGCATATATCTTTAATCGTATAACTTCATACCGTCTATCAAAAAGGTGCGTAGTCAGCCATTAGCCGCATCTACGCGGACTTACGTTGGCAGATCCCGATCCTACTGATCGAACGCCTATTCATATTCGAATCGGCGCTGACCTTTACGGCGCTACTTTACTTGAGGGTCTCCGACAAGGACCGTCCGGCAGTCCCACCGCCCAATTAACAATATTCGGTTGGATTGTCACGGGTCCGATTTATGAGCGCGATTCGCAAGCTTCCGTCTACGTAGATTCGGTTAATAATTGCGTTCCGAGTCTCGATTCTCTCCTTACGCGCTTTTGGGAGACGGAAGAGATTCCATTCCAATCACGACTTACCGATGACGAGAAAAGGTGCGAGACACATTTCTGCGAGACACACTCTCGAGACACATCTGGTCGATACATAGTAAGGTTGCCATTCAAACAATCGCCCCCGACTATCGGAGATTCATTCTGTATCGCTTCGCGTTTTTTCCAAAAATTAGAAAAACGTTTACTCCGAAACTCTAAGCTCTCGGATGAATATCATTCCTTTCTTAAAGAGTATCGCGATTTAGGACACATGGAGCTCGCTCCACCGATGGAATCGTTGCATTTTAAACCATACTACCTTCCGCACCATCCAGTAGTGAGAGAAGAAAGCGCAACCACGAAAATCCGAGTTGTTTTCAACGCTTCGTGCGCAACGTCTAATTTAACATCACTGAATGATCACTTACTTATCGGGCCGAAATTACAAGCGCATCTCGCGTCAATATTAATTCGATGGCGTTGCCATAAGTTCGTTTATACTGCAGACATTGAAAAAATGTTTAGACAAATATTAGTACACCCCGAAGATATTGATTATCAACGGATTTTATGGAGACCGTCGTCGAAATCCCCTGTTCATTCATATCGATTACGTACTGTTATCTATGGTACGGCTCCAGCACCGTACTTATCACTAAGAGTTCTTCAGCAATTAGCAGAGGACGAAGGTGATAACTTTCCGCTTGCTCGGTCAATCTTACAACATAATACCTACGTAGATGACGTTTTATTCGGCGCAAACGACGTTGAAACTGCACGCACTAGTCGTCACCAATTAAACAGTCTTCTCGCGGCGGGCGGCTTTCATTTGCGTAAATGGCCAGCCAATGCGAAGGAACTTCTTTTCGACATTCCTGAAGGGGATCATGAGCTCGCAATCGATCTTCCCTTTAAGAAAGACGAAAACATTAAGGTCTTAGGTATTTCCTGATCTCTGCATAATGATAGCTTTATGTTCAGAATTGTATCTCCAGCATTAAAGGCTGTAACGAAGCGTACCGTTCTATCTGCGATCGCGAAACTTTTTGACCCGCTCGAATGGGCCACTCCCGTAATTATCAAAGCGAAAATCATGATGCAAGATCTTTGGATAAGAAAATGTGACTGAGATAAAAATCTTCCAGATGATCTCCGAGAAAGATGGGAGAGTTTTTACAACTCTTTACCTGCTCTAAATAACGTGCGAATTTTTCGCTGGACAGGCCAATCTTTCGATGTAACGAAATACACGGATTCGCGGACGCTTCGTCCACTGCGATGGGAGTTGTTGTCTATTTACGACTGACGTTCAACAATGGAACAACTGGCGTAAAGATTGTCGCGGCAAAGTCTAAAGTATCGCCGATTAAAACTCTAAGTATTCCGAGATTGGAATTAAATGCCGCTCTATTTCTCGTCAATCTTCTCGAATTTGTCGTCTCCGCTATGCATCTCAAGGACTATTCTGTACATTGTTGGACGGATTCTACAGTTGTTCTTGATTGGCTCAAAAAGCATCCATCCACATGGGGAACCTTCGTTGCCAACAGAGTTTTGAAAATTCAAACTCAACTCCCGTCAGCTAAATGGAGACACGTTCCTACCGCAGAAAATCCTGCTGATTGTGCTTCACGCGGAATCGCTCCACCAGAACTTGAATCGCATCATTTATGGTGGAGTGGACCCAGTTGGTTACGTCAGTCACCTTCCTCGTGGCCACCTCAAAATAAAGACCTTCAAGAAATAAATTTCGATCACGACGATGATTTACTTTTAGAAAAACGCAAGGCAACCGTAAATCAAATCGAGACTTCGCCTCATTCTTGTCTCTTGACAATCTCCCGAACAAAATATCATCGTGGCTTCGCTTATTGCGAATCACCACGTACATAATCCGATTTTCGAAACTCACACGACTGAAAACTCATGGTGTCATAACTAATGAAAAATTCTTAAGTTCAGTCGAGATAAATGAGGCTAAGTTATTTTGGTATAGAAACACCCACTTCGAGCAGTTTCCCAACGAAATAACCGCTTTAAGAAAAAACTTGCCAATTTCGCCTAAAAGCCCTCTGCTGAAATTCACGCCGTTTCTCGATGAAAAAGGTATAATACGTCTAGGCGGGCGGCTTAAAAATTCGCCTCTTACGTTTTCTGAAAAACATCCTATTATTATGCCTCGTCATCGGATTAGCACATTAATTGCTGAATATTCTCATGAGAAAGCCTTGCATGGAGGTCCTCAACTCACTTTGCGAGTAATTAGACAAAACTACTGGATGATTGGAGCAAGAAATCTCGTAAAAACAATAATACACAAATGTATTCCTTGCACTCGCGAGCGTGCATCGATTCCGTTCCAATTAATGGAAGATCTTCCACGCGCTCGGGTCTCACCGTCTCGCCCTTTCTTACACACCGGTGTAGACTATGCCGGTCCATTTTCAGTTTTACCCAGAAGGGGCAGAGGACAAAGATATTATAAGGGTTATGTAGCCGTCTTCGTCTGCCTTTCCGTTCGTGCCATTCATTTAGAGCTAGTAAACGATTATTCTTTTGAATCGTTCCTCGCTTCCTTCAAACGATTTACAGCTCGTTGTGGAATACCTAGTGACCTATATAGTGACAACGGTACAAATTTTCAAGGAGCAGCTAAAGAATTATCGTCTACGTTTCGAAATCTCATGAAAGATGCCGATTTAATGTCTCGATTAGCCACCGATGGAACTTCGTGGCATTTTATCTCTCCTGCCGCGCCACATTTTGGTGGAATTTGGGAGGCAGGCGTTAAAAGCATGAAACATCATCTTCGCCGTGTCATCGACTCTCATACTTTATCAATCGAAGAATTCACGACGCTTCTCTGCCAAGTTGAAGCCTGTCTGAATTCGCGACCCATTTCCCCGTTGGCAAATGATCCTAATGATTTTGCCGTACTAACTCCCGGACATTTTCTAAACGGAGCCCCCCTCGTTACTGTACCTGACGATTCCGCGTTAGATCTTCTAACGCGAATCGCGTCTCTCCCGTTACCAGCGTGTGCGAGCGATGCTACAACACTTTTGGAATGCTTGATCTCGTGACTATTTACACACCTTACAACAACGGCAAAAATGGACACGTGTTTTCCCAGAATTAAAGGTGGGAGAAATCTTAGTCAAGTGTCTGGCCAAGATTATAAAAACCTTTCCGGGAAAGGATGGTCACGTTCGCACTGTCACTCTTGAAACTGCGAAGTGTACGTTCAAGAGACCAATCAATCAAATCTGTCGACTACCGTTAGATGATAAGAACTGATTGTATATTTAGCTTAATGTAGTTATAAGTCCGAAATTGCTTATACCAAGGTAAAGATGCACAAAAAATTGTACAAGATTCGTCGTACCGTTCCAGATACGAGGCGAGCGGTATGTTTAGTTTTGAATTTACATGCGAACACCTGTTCTCATCGACGGTCAGGGTGACCCATGTTATTGTCAGCGATTCGGCACGACTTTTGCCGAATTATGATCGTGCTGCAACTACGCGAGCGATAGCGTACTGAGAAATTAGTAAACCAACAGCAGTCACGATTAACACCTCGCGCTAATAAAGGAGCTGATTTATATTAATCAAGTGTTTCGATTATACCTTTTCCGAAGAAGTCCTTGTTCCAGCAACAATTTCAAAGTTAAGTGAAACGATATACGAAAGTGTTGATTCAGGTTAGTTTTACATGTCTAGAATTGTGTGTAAAAAGATTGACATTTCACAATTATTTGTTATGTAAAAGATGACATTGTTTTGCTTATAATAGTATGTTCCTCTCCGAACTAAACATTTTCTTTTAAAGACACGTCCTCATATCGATAAAACTAACAAAGGAAAAACAAGGTTTAGTCGACTCACCCTGTATATTAAATAAAATTATATCGTGTATTTATAACTTGACAATGTTTCAACTATTTATATAAAGTTAATTCTTTGTATACAGTAGGTGTAGTGTCATCGACACATTCAACTTGAACTGACGCGTACGTAACGAAAATGTATAACAAAGATATTAAAAATATAGTTAACCATGTTGTTCGATGCCTGACCACAACCACGTTCGAAAATAGTCGCCGTTTACGCGAGATAATAGAAACTCGAGGCGCATTGAGAAATCATATTCCGTGCGGGGAAAAGCAATTGCTGACGACGATCGAACAAAAAACGTTGATTTTACATTGGTTTCGCGCTCGTTTCGTTGCCCTAGCGTGTTTGCCGATTTGCACAACAGCTTACCGCGACCTTGTTGTTTCTTTCTTTCGTCATCTAGGAGAACGCGTGCGATTCTGAAAACGCTGGAGACGGCAAGGCTGCGAAAAGAAGGGCGTCCTCCTCATGAATGAGCATAGACGCGTGGATCGGGAATACCCCCCAGGCGATCAGGCGGGGAATAAAACCTCGATGCTCTCGAGGAAATGACCGCGGGTGAAAGTGCTTCTGAGACATTCGTCGAGAGCGGTCGAACACGTTTGCTCATGAGAAAAGTGCCTCGTACTGTCAAGCGCGGACGTGACTTTTTTACAGCGCCATCGAAGGTCGCCGCGATTACGATAATCGTCACCACTTCGAATCGACTCCTGACAATGTACCTATACATATGTTACCGGCCAGAAGTATTAGGACTCCTACCCTGTGTGAATCGATCCTAATAGAAGTCACAATTTAGAAACTGTAACTACATTTACTTGATTTAATATTGTGTTTCACAGGTATAATCAATAATCAAGTAATTAATAATAAAACAATCAAATTTTTACTTTATGACGTTATAAAAGTCACATAAATGTGCTGTATAACATTGCAACTGTCATAATTATATCACAAATGTCACCTTTATTATATCATGTAATGTTATAAACGCTATTATTTTGTTAGAACTTATCAATAACAATGTAAATGTATATTGCTTGAAACTAAATGTTTCCAGTCACTAAATGCATTCATTTTTGTAGAGTATGATCAATATTTAAAGTACAATGTTTATATTTGCTGGTACGTACTTCTTTGTCGATAATTTACACATTTCAAGTTGCAATAATACAATAAAATCATGTGCAAGTTTAAATCACTTGATTAAAATTTAATTTAGCTAAATATGTATTAGAGGGACCAACAAATTTTTAAAAAGGGAATCGAACAACTGCGTTTACGCTGGCAAAAGTGTTAGAAAATGATGGAAATTATTTTGTTGATTAGTATTTAAGATTTTTTTAATAAATAAATGTTGATAAAAGTTTGACTACTTTTCGCTCCCCCTAATAATATCGAATTTAAACTAAATAACACGCTATGTCAAATATTCGATTATTAATCGTAATTTTAATTATAGTAGGGCTTCGATTATTCGACTACAGTTTATCTAAATATCTCATCATTTGAACGCTACTTTAAAGTGGAATAATTGATATTTTTAGTTAAGATCTTAACTTCGAAGATGAGAAATTGTGCGCATATCAGAATCAATTGTTATATGCGTATATCCTTATCTTCCTTCCTAGATTTCACCGTTCCAGCATAGTTTAATTTGGCATATATTAGTCACAGCACAGTCGAAAGTAAATTAAAATGAAAAATTGTAATCAAACGCGTAGTGGAATATTGAACTCGAAATAACAGTTTATGATGTAAATATACAAAAATGTAGACTATGGTGAAAGTTCATTAAATCACAGTAAGTATATGTAAGATTTATGTACGCTTTCATTACTTATGTAATAAAATTTTGCCCTGAAATGTGATTTGTAAATCCAAGCAATTTATAAAATTATAGAACTAATTACATCTATAAAACACTATTTATAATCATTCGAACGTCTCTTTCTAACAGAGATGATTAATTAAAGCACAGTATAATGATTCATGAGCAACATTTATTGTGTAGAATATTTATACAAATTCACATATAACGTAACGTTCAATATTATTTAAGTATTTCATTCTAAATTTCAAATTTTAATGTATAATTCTACGAATATCGAATACTATGTATCTTTTGTTTTTCATGATTATTATTTACATAAGAACTTAGCCCATCTCTGCTGTCTAAGCATTAAGAAAAAGTTTTACTTTTAATCTGAAGTTTGTCTATTATTATATATAATTTGATGTAGTATATATGTATTGTATAGTTAATTTTTATATATGTATATAGATAATTGAATCAACAGAATGTTACCTCCAGTTGTTATTATTGGAGAAGTATCAATTATAACAACTACAACTTGTATTACAATATGTACTATCACACAGATATATTCAGAAGAACAAAAAAAAACCATAAATGCAATGTTTAATGATGGCGATTTATTGAACATGTGCGTTTTAATTGTCAACTGTTTAATAAATGGTGTAATACGATTTACTCAGTTGTACATATATTTCTTTAAAATCTTTCGATATTACTATACCAAAGAACTCACTTGCCTATCGAGAGTAAGAATTTTGTTATCTACGTTTATTAAATAATTGTACATTTCAAACAAAGAATTACATTTTCTATACTTTAAAGTGAACATGTCGTTTATTCGCAGTAACTAATACGTGTTCATAAAATAAAGTTTAATAAGAAGGTACTAACTGTTATTTCATGCAATTAAATTTCTCTCGATTAGGTACTTTCTATCATCTTTTTGTGCATATGACTTCATCTATATGAGGTAAAGTAAACGGTTCGGACAAATCGCTGATTTTTCGAAGGTATTGCAATATTACATACGAATAAATTAAAGTGAAAGCGAGAGAATGAAAATTCAGAACATTCGTTAATTTTTATGTAACCGAAGATTACAAGTTCTCTTTTAACGTGATTTTATGACTTCCGAGAATATTGAATTTTCATTACGCAATACAAACATGCCAAAAAATTGTTTGGTAAAAAATGTTTCACAATTTTTTATTTTTCTATTCCGCGAGACTTAGAATGCCATTTACAAGAAATGAAGAAGTAACGTTCAACGAAATTGCAATTTTTTTTTTATTTCGAGATTTTGCAAACGATTTTGCAATGAGATTGAATGAACGCATTTGTCCATTCATTGTTTTAGTTATTTAATTTAAGGAGGACCACAGGGTAATTGTTTGAAACATCGCCAGTTATTATTTTAATACATTCCAATTTATTGCTCTAAAGATAAATTACTGTATTCATTTGTTTCAAAATGAAATTCTGTAATTTTCATGTTGAACTACCGCCACAAATTAAAAACGACTGCCTCCAAATTATTATTACTATTATTAATATTGATTGTATTCATTATGCATATATGGAAGTAAATAACCTTCGTTTGTTCAACATTGAATTTGAACATGTTTAAATTGTCTGCAAATCTGCATAACATTTGAAACTTAACACTTTCATCCTAAACGTTTTCTCTAACTATATAGTTTCAAGAAAATTATATTTGCAAGGAAATTTTTTAAAGCATCATCCTGACGATAATTCTTCTTCTTCGCTGTCCGTAAACGCAAGTTGAAATTGCGTAAGAACGGACAATTGTTAGTTATTGGGATGAGATTGTGATAATTGGTTTTGGTATGCGTAGAGAGTGAGTTAGGTTGATATGTGTGGAAAGTGAGTTAGGTTGGTATGCATGGAGAGTGAGTCAGGTTGGTATGCGTGTGAGGAAAAAAGGGTTAGAGTGAATCAAGTTAAAAAAGGGCATGTGCGTGGCGTTAATGATGTCTTAATATTCTAATATATTATTAAATATATTAATCACAAGAAGTGTCCAAAATTTGTTCCATCTTCCCACAAGTTGGTAGCAGAGGTCCGTGGTTGAAAGATGTGTTAAATAAAATATAGAATCTGAGTGAAAGTAAAAAAAAACAGAGAGAAATCATGGCAGACACGTGGAATATCACAAGCATTGAACCACTCGATGATACTAATTATTTTTTGTGGAGCGAAAAAGTAGAAGTTATTTTGCGTTTAAAAAAGCTGTGGAAAAAAGTAATAGGGGTCAGAGAGATAGTGAAACCAGAGAAAAGTGAAGAAAATTACAAAAGAAAATTAAGAGAATGGAATGAATGGGATGACAATAACTACCCAGCTAGAACAATAATGATCAACACAATGAGTAAGGCTCAATTGCTAAAATACAGTAGTATAAAAAACGCAGATAGATTGTGATCTTTAATTAAGAGAAATATGGCAGCTGAAACGGAAGAATTAAAAGCAAGGTTCCTGAACGAACTGACAAATTTAAAAATGAAAAGGGAGGAAAGTGTTAATGCTGATATAAATAGGGATGAAGCACTACAAAATCAATGTATACATTTGAGAAAGATGATAGAAGATTTAGAGTTAAAAATATATATTTTAAGAGGGCTTAGACAAGAATGTGAATCGAACAATATATGTTTTGCTCTCAAACAGGAGGAAATTAGAAGGGAATCAAAAAAGGAAGAAAGATTCCACAGAGACTAAGAATCAGTGAGAAAAGTAAAGGATGGGTCCAAGAATAATATCCATTGTTTTAATTGTGGGTTAACGGGGCATATAGCCAGTGAGTGTTACAAAAATAAACGCTGTTATAAGGATTTAATCATGTGACTGCAAACTGTAGGGAATCTAGAAAGAATGTAACGCCAACAAGAAGAGGACATAGAGGAAATTTTCAAAGAGGATTTCGAGGAAGATCAAGCAGACAGACTAATGTAAGAGGGGGAAACTTCATTGCGAACCACAGATGAAGCTGTGCGAAAAGTTAATGAAATTTCACAAACAAAAGTGACTTGTGAAGAAACTAAAAAGGAATTCGAGATGATACTTGTCGTATTTGGTTATTGGATTCTGGTTCCACGAGTCATATGAGCCATGATAAACTAATATGTAATAAATTGATTGAAGAAATTGCACTAGCAGATAAAGAAGGAAAAACATTAACGTGTGAGAGTATTGGTGAAGTAGTATAAGACAATCTGGAACGAAGAGAAATGTGAGACTTGAAAAAGTATTATGCGTGCCTGATTTGAACATTAATTTGCTTTTTGTAGCTAAAATAACAGACCATGGTTATAATGTAAAATTCAATAAATTTGGAGCTCTGATGTATAAAGAACGAAATGAAGTAGAAATGACAGCAGTTCGAGTGGATAATGCATACTACGTAAGAACATTCATCGAAAAAGAAGAGGCAGTGGCGATCTTTGGCACAAGAGATTAGGTCATGCTAATAAAGAAGTTCTAGAAGGAGAATCTAGTAATAAAAATGACAAATAAGGGAAGAATGGAATGTGGACCATGTGTTGAGGGAAGACTTGTAGAAAGCATCATCGAAGATTAGAAGGAAGACTGTTGCATACTTTTACTTCTAAAATTTTTTAAAAGGATACAAACAATCGGATTATCACTCGCCAAATTAATATTGTGTGATTGATTCAAATGGATCGAATTTACGGAGTGCGTGCGTTTCGTCTCGGAATTGTCAGTAGACTCATCGGTAGGGCTGCATCTGACAATTCCTGCCCTAGACGCATCATTTTCTTGATGTATGAATTTCGATTGGTTGAGTCTCGATATTACGACTCTTTTTCGACCAACGCACGTCGAGAACGATAAATAATTGGTTGAGTTCCGTGTTAGCATCATCGAAGATTAGAAGGAAGACAGACAAACAACATTATACAATTGTGGCCAAATGTGCAACATTTAAGAAGATTTGGCTGTTTAGCATACTGTTGAATAAAAGGGGAGGGAGGCAAAAGTTTGAGCCAAAGACTGAAAAAGGAATTTTTTTGGGATAGGGTACAAATAATACCTACCGAATATATGTATATTCCAAAGGCAGATAAAATCAGGTGTGATTGTGATGTAAAATTCGAAGAAAACCCGAATGGATCAGAGTTGTACAATAATAAGAGAAATTTTGAAGATAATGATAATAGAGGTTTAATTGTATTAGGATTAGATTCCAATGATGATGTGGAAGATTCTGAACTTGATGTTGAGAAATACCAGAATGAAGAAGAAGAAACGAACGAACAGCAGGAAGAGTGAATCGAGTTAAAAAAGGGAATGTACGTGGCGTTAATGATGTCTTAATATTCTAATCGAATTAATATTCTAATTAAATATATTAATCACAAAAAGTGTCCAAATTTGTTCCACCTTTCCACAGAGATACCGAGAGAAAGGAGCCTAGACGAAATTCAGAAGTGTCGTGAAGATGGGAATGGGAAAGAGAAAGATTGTCGTCAAAAGTTGTTCTCCTTGACTTAATCATCTTTGACATCGTTATATCCCCGTTACGCACGCGTCTTACCATAATCATGCAAAGATACAGGCTTGACAATAATTTACGTAATTTTTCCATACTTTTTTGCTGACATAATCAGTTGAAGTCGTTGCCCTTTAAAGTTCGCTGGTTTCTGAACACCTTTCGACCAATTATTTATTAAAGAAAAAATGACTACTTTTTCAAAAGCTTATCATACTTTTATCTCATTCTATTCTATAAGAGTTATTAATTTCTTGCGAATATGTAGTTTCGTAACAAACAAAATTTTTTACTTCTGATAAATGCATCCACAATTGTAAAATGTATGTACATATATATATACTATAGTGTGTACAATGTGTCTAGCTATGAAATATAATTGTATGGATTCACTTCTAAAATATTATCAAACAAAGGTTTAGTTATACTAGTGAAGTATTAAAAATTTAAAAATATTAAGAGTAGACCTTCTCACTAAATGAGTGCAAACATCTTCCTTATTATGTTGTTTTGTCTAATATTGCTGTCTTTTAGGAGTGATTTGAGACGTTAAATACTTTCACAATGTTAATATATAAGGTGAATTACGTTAATAATATTGATTTAAGTTGATAGAACACATCTACAGATGTTTCCACAAAGTTACAATTTAAAAGAAATTATTGTTAAGAAATATTTGTCAACTTTGCAAGTTTTAATCTTAACAACTTACTAATGAAAAGTATTCATTACGATATATAATATACATTGAACACCCAACAGTAATTAACATGATTAGAGTAATTATGAGATAACCGAA